TAAGATACAATACATTGTGTATTAGCCACAACTTACCATTATAATTATTATTTGACATTGGGCAGGTTTAAAAAAAGGTTTGCATACAAAACGCATCATTCAGTATCTGGAGAATGGAAATATTTATCTTACAGGGCCATGGATGAAATACATGTCCTAACTTGCCCCATTTGAGTGGTAAATCACTCAAATGGAGGGAGAGAGAGAGATTTAAAATGAAAAGCAATGGCAGAAAAAAAATACAAATACTTTCATTTTCATGTGAATTTAGTCCTAGCAAAAGAAGGTATCCCACTGCAACTTTCAAAGAAAACTAATTATCCCCATGCCCTCACTTCGAGGGGCTGTCCCAACCCTCACTTCCAGGGGCGGTCTCTGGTCCACATGAATTAATACAGCGCAATCAAGTGGCCCAGTTCAATACAGTAATTTTAGCTCAGTTGGCAGCTCTTATTCTTGTCTGCACTAGCCTCTGCCTCCCCTTAAAATTACCCTACATTCATCTCTGAGCAGGTTTATGTAATACCATGGTTAAATATTGGCACTAGAGCTGGTAGATAAAAAAAACTCACTATTTTGTGAAAAATGTTAGAGACATAATGTGGGAGAGGTAATAGCTTTTACTGGACCAGTTTCTGTTGGTGAAAGAGAAGGAATGATTGGTACAAATGTACAATACATTTCTCATCCACCTCGGCGCTCTAACTGCCTGGGACCAACATGGCTACAACATTTCATATACCAGTTGAAAATGTTTTTTGATTTGGGGTTTGTCTACACAGTACCCTAAAGTCGAAATAAGGTGTGCAATGCAAATTGCATATCTTATCTCGAATCTATTTCAAAATACCTTATTTTGAAATTTTGGTGCATCTACACAGCACCAAATTTTGAAATAACGCACTATTTCAAGCCATCCCTTAACCCTTGTGTAACGAGGTTTACTGGGATGGTGAAATAGTGCTCCCGTTATTTTGAAAAGTATTTTGAAATAACGGGTGGCTTGTGTAGACATGGGGTAGCTATTTTGGGATACCATAACCGTTCAGTGTAGACGTACCCTTAGTTTTGCTTATTCCACACTAAAAATGAGGATGGAAAGTAAAAAGGGGCTAATGAGAGCTGATGTGAAGGAGGAAGGGGACTGGAAAGCAAATGTTTAGATGTTGTTTTTCTTTTAAATTTTAAGGATTGTTCTGTGAACATATTTGGGTTGTGAAAAATGCCATTTTTCATTGAATGGGTTTCAAAAAATTTTGGCCATCTATAGATGGCACCCATTCCCACAATTGCTGTCACAAGTTGAGAAATTTAGGTCTGAGGAAAATTAATCTTGACATATGCTACAGTTCTGCCTTTTATAGAAATGTTTATAAACATCTTTAATAGGTATGTAGTAGGGGTACTGTTGTTACCTATGTTTGACATTGTAATGTAGTCTGGGTTTAGCATTTTAATGCTGTTCCAGTTGGCCTTTCTTAGGAGGCATATTCAACCTGGCTAATTGTAAATATGGATGGCATGGAGATTATGGAAGATGGCAAGTGATCTTACAAATGGTAGATCCCTACTGAAGTTAGAACAGAAGCCACAGCTTTACTAGGCTATTGTCTGCCCTAAAAGCTTTGCAGAAAACCTCCCACTTACTTGTTTTTCTATTTATTTTTAATTTTACTTTCACAATAATTTAGAACATTTTCCATTATGCACATCATGTATTCATTTAATTATGAAACATGCAAATTAATTCAATCCTCAACCCTCCACTCCTCTACCTAAGCTGTTTGGTACACCTACCCGAGGAAGTTTTGTGTTCCCATCTTTGTTGTAGCACTGGTAAATTGTAATGTGAAAGAAAAGGTAAATATTATCCATGCTGTAAAGATGAGGAATCCAAGGCATAGAAAGATTGGAGGGCTGGATTGCCTGGTGTGCCAGAGCAGTACTTGGCCACAGAAGACACAATCAAAATCAGGCCCCGTGTACTAGATGATTGAAAAGATGTACAAAGACACCGTTAATTTTACAGTTTAAGGAGATAACTGACCTAGGGATAATGATGCAATCAAACAAAGAAAGCATTTTAAATTTCAAATAAATATGTAAATGTGTGTAACATTAAATAGATAAAATGTCAACAATCCCCATCTAGTCTGCAATTGGTGCAATTGACATCGGTATCTTTTAGTAGGATGAGTCTTGAGTTATTTGAAGGAGAGTGTATAGGCCTTAATGACTGGAACAGGAATTCCTTGCATAAGGAGGAGTGTAGACAAAAACAGAGATTTGTGTGAAATGCTGGCAAACCAGTGGAGCAGAAGAGGACCTTGTTAACAAGTAGGGAGGGGCAGAACTGTGAAGGTTCTTAAGTCAAGTTTGAACTCCATACAGAGATAAGTGGAGTGATTCAAAAAGAATGGTGATTGTGCCAGGAGTACTGGGAAAGAAGAGTGCTTTTAGCAACTGTTTTACATTAACTGGAGGGAATGCTGTAGATTTCAGGAAGGTTACAATAAATAAGTTTCAAAATGATGAAAGTCTGGGCAACTTTCCCTTAAACAGATTTGATTGATGGAGATGTGCATTGTCAGCAGTGACAGAAATGAGAGGTCAGGAGATGTTAAAGTGAAGTGACCAATGAGAAATCCAGAAGGTGTATGTCAGAGTAACAGGCCAAGTTTCAGAATGTAATGTAGAAATCAGAAGTGAAAAGATACATTAGAGTAAGGATGGGTATTGAAATTGAGGGAGCAGAGGAGATCCCACAGAGGGTGTACAAAAAGAGAGCTGAGAAGACAAGGTCAATGGGGTGGGGTGGGAGGGTGAGGTGCAATCCTACCCAAGGAGTATCTAGGAATAATCAGGGGGGGGGAAACAAAGAGGTGTCAAGAAACTGAATGTAATCAACAGTGTGAAAGCAGGAAAGAGAGCAAAGCCTATGGGGATTGAATACAAAGCCAGGACACGAATTGCCCCTTCATGGTTATAAGATACTACAAAGATACAACATATATACATCTAACATCAATTGTATTGCACAAATATTATAGCTTTACTTACATTATTTATATTACAAATTGGACATCTTTTATGTGGCACCCACAGGACCTGACCAGTCCCGAACCAGGGAATTTGCCGGACTAGTAAAGCTTTCCTACCACAGCCCCCAGCCACCAATTCTGCCAGTTGTGTGAGGGGCTGGGGAAGACTACCTCCAGCCCCTGCCAGGCTGCCTGCTGGGTTGCTGGCCCTGCTCCTGCTGCCCTGTCTGCCTGCCTGCCAGGCTCCAGCAGCCCATGCTACCACAGGATGCTGAGGGCTGGCTCTGGCCCTGGGTGGGCTGCTACGGACTCTGGCCCTGCTTCTATGGGCTGTCGGGGTCTGTCCCCACTTTGCCTTTTGTTGCTGGGGCTGCTGCCAGCCTCAACCCTGGTCCTGCTGTCACAGGCTGCTCAGAGGGCAGGCTCCTGTCCTGTGGCAGCCTGGGATCTCTGGCCCCTCTTCTGTGGGCAGCCTGGGGCTCTGACCCTGGCCCAGAACTGCCATGGGCTCTTGCCAGCCCATTCCTATGCTGTCAGGGGCTTCCAGACCCAGTCCCAGTGTCACAGGCTATTAGGAGCTGTCAGGAGCTGCTGCCAGTTCCAGCTCCATGAGTGGGGGCTGCTGCCAGCCCCAGCCCATCCTGATGCTTCAACCCGGCCCCTCCTAGATGGCCCTCCTGCCACTAGGCTACCAAGGTCCTCTGATCAAGAAACAGGACCACACATTTTGCCAGACTACAGAATTCTAGTGCAACCTGTACTAGGAAATGGGAATGAAGAAAAAGCTGACCTACTTACACAATCCAATTTACATTACTGATTGTCACACCCTTGCCTCTCTCACCTCTCTTCCTGAGTCTAGACATTCAAGTTGGGCAAGGTAATGTTTTTTTCTGGGCCTTGGCTGGAACCATAATTGGCCCAGTAAAAGATATTATCTCACCCAGCTTGCTGCAGCCCTGGTCCCAGGATATTAGAAATCTTGTGTGGCTGATGCTGCGGTAAGGGGTAAACCAAAGAAATCCCAGTGAAGTCCAAAGGACTTCTGTGCATGACGGGTGTGTAGAATTGAATTCCATCCTGCAACCCAATACTAGGGTGGTTGTAGGAAGCAAGCACTATGCCAGCAATAAGAAAAGAAAAAAAATATGTAGTCGGTGAAGTGCTACATTTTTTCCCTTTTGTTTTACCAAGATCAGACTAACATGGTTACCTCTCTATTACTATTCAGCAATAAGAGGTGTGTGCTAGGCCCACCCAGAGGCCCTTATCCTGCAATTTTTGTGTTCGTGGTGGCAGATACCCAAAGCCCTACTGACTTCCTTGAGGTAAGTGCAGTAGTTACTGCAGAGAGTCAAAGCCAGGAAGAAGGCTTTAGATTGTCAGCCCTTTGGGGCCTGGACTTTTTCTTATCTATCCATAAAGCAACATGTTCCCCTCTACCCTGTTAAAAGTGTACAAGTACAACAATGGTTCTTAATTAGCTGTATAAATTTTTAACAAACCTAATTTCTGGACTTATAAAATCTCAAACTTAAATTAGATCTATGGAAATCTTAATTGGCTCTCCATTGTCTGCAGAAATTACCAATTCACTCAGCCATAGTTTTTTCCATAATATATGACTTGAATACAGTACATTCCTAAACACCCGATCCTTTTAGAGAAAAGACCTTTAAATTCCCGATTATCTTTTGAAGCTGCAGTGAGTTCAAGCAGTAAGTGTCATTTACATAGGGATAGGATGTAACAAGTGTTGTAAATCACTTACAACAGAGTTCACTAATCTATTGGCAGACATTGTGGAGCCAACCCTCACCGAGCTTTGGAAAATGTGTGAACAGCATCTTTTGTGGGGGAGACCTGATGGCAATTAGATGATACTTATCTGGGCCTTTGATGCTTGTTTACACACACAACATTTTCCTTGGCACTCCCTTTATAAAAGAAGGGAAAAACCCCCCCCCGCCTCTAGCTTGTGCTGGAAGAGAAGCCGCCAGGATGACCAAAGCACCTTTCTCTGTAGAGTGGCTTTCCCAGAGCAGCCAGGCCACCTCCGAGCGGCCGCAAAGGGCAGAAGGCGCTCGAGGCAGCTCGCGTGGGTTCTTCTCCCCGCTCGGAAACCCAGCCTGCAGCTCCAGCCCAGCCCCCCAACCGCTCCAACCCGCCGGGCGTGCAAGCCAAAGAGGGCAGAGGGGTGAAGCTATAAAGAGCCTAGACAACGGCCCTAAGGGTGAGACGCTTTTGGACCCGTCCTCAGTCAGAGGTGATTAGAATTGTATTCCTTGTGGTTTGCCCGGGTGTCCGCGCCAGGGGGGCTGGTGCATTGTTCTTTGCTAGTGTGTGGAGCCGCGAACGGCGAAATCCTGGCTCCCCTGAAGCTCGGGGGAGTTTTGCCGCTGAGTTCAGCAGAGCTGGGATGGGCCGGTGTAAGTGGCCGGGGAATCGGGCCGGGACTCCTGGTTCCAGCTGTGACCGTGGGCAAGTCCTCTGACCTCCCGAGGCCGCCCCAAGGGGAGGGCTGCGGTTTGGCCTCGGAAAGCGCTAGGAGAGCCTGTGAGGCAGGCGCCAATAGGTGCCAGGACCAGCAGAGCCGCGGCTCTGAACTTTGGGGACCTCCCCTGCGGTTAGCGGCTGGGAGCTGCCCAGCGGTGGCCTCCGCCGCGCTCTAGGGCGCCAGCCACTGGAGCCCCCTGACCTAGTTCCCCTCTGCCCGCAGCAGCGCCAGCCGCAGCCCAGCGGGCGTGGAGCGCCGCGGAGTCCGGGTCCGAGTGGGAGAGCGGCCGCTCCGAGTGCCAGTCCCCCGAGGCGCCCAGCGGCAAGGGCAGCCGGCGCCTGCGCACCGCCTTCAGCGTGGAGCAGATCAGCACCCTGGAGAGCTCCTTCAAGCGCCACAAGTACCTGGGCTCGGCCGAGCGCCGCAAGCTGGCCGCCAAGATGCAGCTGTCCGAAGTGCAGGTGAGCGGGGCTGCGGGCTGGAGGCCGGGCCGGGCGCGGAGGCTCCGGGGCGCCAGGGATGACTCTGTTTCTACCCCCGCAGATCAAGACCTGGTTCCAGAACCGGCGCATGAAGCTGAAGTGGCAGCTGCAGGAGATGAGGCTGGAGCCCTTCTACAGCCCCGTGCCCTTGGGAGCCCGGCCACGGGCCCCTGCCCCTGCACTACCTCTGCCCGCAGCTCCTGGCTCACCTCCCGGGGCAGGAGGAGGCCCCTGCCAGCTTCACCTTCCCAGCACTGCCCGCCAGCGCCTGCAGGAGGGAGCCAGGAGGCTATTGGCAGGCGCCCTGCTTTGTGGGCTACACAAACCCCAGGACTTTCCTGCTGCCCATTTGAACCCGCGGGGCTAGTCTGTGACTCAAGGATTTGCACTAACGCTGGCACTCAGGGGCGGGGCCGCCGAGGCCTGTAACTGCTGCTGTGTTTTGTCATGCAATCCCCTAATGCACAGCGAGACTGTTGTAGAGACACATGGGGCATGGGGGACCGAGTATTCATATGTTCTGGAGCAGTCCAATAAAAACAAACACTGACCAGCTCTCACTTTTTACTTTCTCGCATCAGTCCTGGGGAGCCCTTACTTGCCACAACCAGGAACACAGCCTACCTCCATCCCTCCTTCCTGAACTAACCTGACCCACACCCTTCTCTTCCATAGGCCCAGGATAGGCTCCTATAGATTTGCAGTTCAAGCTTGTGTGGCTCTGCTTGGAGAATACATTTTAAGGAACATTCTTTTGGAAAGGGGTTGAGAGTTTTAAAAATAAGAACCAGGAGTAACAATATCCTGCCAGCAGAGTGTTGCCTGCAATGTGCACATGGTGGGTAAAATCCTGTGCTCATGGCAAATGTCCCATTGACTTTGATGGACTTGGTTTTCAAACTGTTGAGATTTAGTGCTGCTGCCTGACCCTTATTACAGGGGCTCCCTGCTCTGCTTAAGACTTATGGACACCCCATCCTGATCCAATTTAAATTGGAGGAGTGAAATTCTGGCTCTATTGAAGTCAATGGCAAAACTCCTGAGTGACTTCAGTGGGGCCAAGATTTCACCATAGAAGGCTTGATACAGAGTCAAACAGGAGACCCTGTTGTCTTCAGCTACTCCCTGGGTGGCTCTGCTTCTATTTTATTTAATCTGACAGCACTGATATATACTGACACCAAGAGAAAATGATTTTTTTTTCAGATTTATTTATGCATCTACAACAAGGCATTACTATTTGGAAATCAGTTAACATAGAAAAGTAATTAAGAGAGCCATGCAAAACAAGGCCCTACAATACTTATTCACATCAGTAAGATTACATGTATTTTTGTGCTTGCTAGCCAATTACTGGAAATACCTTTTAAAAGACCTACAAATAGGCATTTTTTAAAGTAGAGAATTGTAACACCTCTTCCCCTGAAAACACCTCCCCCCAACCCTTTTTAGATTACTTTACAACCAAGTACCATGAAAGGTCAGGCTTATGATTGTTTTTGTTTTAATAAATTAACATGAAAGAATCCCTACCTCAAGTATCTGTAAATGTCAATGCTAAAAATACTGGTGCTCTTAAATGGTGGGAAGCTTTCTGAAAAATAACACCATACTCATCTGAATTCATCCCACTCAGACTAATCCAGATGTACTTTTCTATTTCCTGGAGTCATTGATCCAGTCTTGCAACTTCTTTGTTAGCTTACACTCACACTCCCATCATTCCAGGGTCCCACTCTAATATCTGGAACCTTCACAGTATCACTCCAGTGTAAAGTTGCCTACAATAAAATCCAAAGATAAAGCTAGTCTGGCTCATATTTTGCTGTGAGATACTTTTTAAAGAGAGCTACAATAAAATCCAAAGATAAAGCTAGTCTGGCTCATGTTTTGCTGTGAGATACGCTCTCTTTAAAAAGTAACACTCAGCAAGGGCCCATTGGTAGCCATACAAAACAACAGAAAGGGGGAGGAGCAAGAGATTGTCAGTTTCACTGATTTCAATTCAACTGAGGATCTACTCCAAGGTATTTTGAAAGACTTCCATTGGTTTCTGATCAGGTCTCCAACATTGCATCCCTAGAAGCTGCTTTGACCTACCAACCCCCATCCATGCATATGGCTTTCTTTTGCTGTCTGCCATGTGCATTCCTGAATAAGATGGCCTGATGCTGATCTCTAGCATGTGTACAGCAAGAGGCTTGTCAGCTGGGTCCTCTTAATATTTTCTGTAATGTTCAATACAAAGAACATGTCGATATTCTGTGTTTAAAATTCCCATCTTAACATTTGCTGGGGGGGAAGGGCAAAAAAAGAGTGCAGGCAAAAGGACTTGGGGGGTAAATGTTTTCTGGGCTACAAAAAATAAGCCTACGGTTTGCCTGCTACTAGTGTGACCATTTTAGAAATCAAAAGCAAAACGAGAGGCTTTGATTGATGAAAGTGTTTGCACTAAATTAGTTTTGAATGTAAATGTTATTTCTGAAATGTAAACTTTGCCCTTATGTGAAGCAGCTCCACTGATCAACAGGAGAAAACCATTCTTTGGGGTTATGAATTGTATCTAGTCAGTACATTATGATGTCTCCAAGGAAGGGTTCATATGGCAGGTATCAAGAGATTTAAAGCCTGATTTTAAGGAGGGCCAAACAGTCAATGTCTGTAAATGTACATGTTTACCTGAAAGCCTCTAGATGCATCTGTTTTGTGGTGTCTGTCACATACTACATGGGGATTATTGTGATACAGGCAAAGACTGGAGTAACTCACTGAAAATCAGGAAGGCAACCAGGTCCAAAATGCTTTATTTGGAGGGGGTGAGATTTCTTTTTCTTCCTGCCTGGAAGAAAGAGTTTGAAGGTGCTAGTGAAGGGCATGTTTCTTCTGCGGCTGGGGTCTTTAGAACAGCACGAGCTGGTCTGCAAGTACACTAGAGGTGGGGGCATTTGTGATGCAGCTGGGCCTGATTCCTCTTGCTTTGCTGTCCACATTTTTGTGGCTATCTGGGGAGGGTGATACACAATTTAGAGAACAGAGATTCCAGCTCTAGAAGAGTCTCACTAAAAATGTGGCCTAGGCAGACAGAAGGCGTGAAAGGAAGAGGCTCAGAGAGTTTGACCAAGCTTATGCAGCAGCTGTCTGGGCCTGCCCCTCACCAAACTGAATCAGAAAACCGCATCTGAGGGGGAGAGACACAGCCTGCCCCAGACAGGTGGGGCTGCTGGGAATGGAAATGAGGAAACCCTATTAGGCTGTAGGGCCCATAACACACTTTTACACGATCCCAGAGAAGATGAGGAGGGTCTCACAGTTCTTATTTTATGAACATGCTCTGGTTTTATGAAGAATCGGGGCTCATGGAAGCTCCCCTAAAAATTCAAAACCTGGAGTAAGTATTTCCTTTCCATAGCACTCCCCATGCCAACTGCACTCAGAAATAGCTGCCCAGCCCATAGCTCCTCTCCTGCTTTGGCCCTGGGGTTCCCTTCCCGGGGTGTGGGAAGGCACCTCTAGCACCCAGCCAGATGCAAGCAGGGGCCAGCATCACTTCCTTCTAGCTGGGCTGCTGTTTACAAATCGGACTGCCCTGCTCAGTGCACAGAGCTGGCACACAAGAAGATAATTGCCAGGCTCGAGCTATGCTAGCTGTGTAAGATGACTGCCCCTCAGGGAGAACACAAGTTGGGGCGTATCTTCCTCATCCCCAGCTTTTCCATACAGAGCAGAAAAGTGCCTTCTTCAAACAGCCTCAGCTTAGCTGCCCCCACAGCTCCTGAGGCCAGGGGCACTGGACCAGTTTGCATGGTGAGATTGTAGGGTGGTGGGAACCAAGGAACCAAACTTTAAACCTGGTGTATGTGGGAAACCACCTGAAGCCAGAGGATGCGGCAGCACCTAGAACCAACACCCTCCGTCCGAGGCTTCCTATTGCCTTTGGGGTTTTTCCACTAGGGCCCTGTTGAAGTAGGTTTGAGCTGATAAAATTCTCCTGCTTTTCTATCGTGCAAATAATCACGTCCCACCGCATCTGGTTTTCTAATCAACTCACACAAACGAATTAGTAGCAACTGCTCATTCCCAGCTTCTGGGCTTTTACCAGAACCTAAGACTGTATCATGCAGTAACGCAACCACAAGCTGCTGCCTTGCTACAATTGCTTCCCCAGCGTTTCCCCTTCAACAGTCAAAGAACAGGGTTGGGACCACACCCCATTCTTCTCGGGTTGACGGCGGCGGGGGTGTAACATGCACACACATTGTTTACACTTGTGTAAACCTCCCCTAGACAGGTGGAAATATTTATATTTGAGCGGTAGCTTTCAATTTGTAGCTGTGCCCTTAGGCCTGGCCAAGCAATGCCGCATGCCTTTTGCACTGCCACCACACCCGAACCGATTGGTGCTGGAGTCGTTTTGCCTTCGGTTTTGAGCGCAGAGACACTCCGTCACCAGTTAAAAAGGCGCTAATGAGCTCTTTGCATAATGACTGTTCAACACCCCCCTGAAATCTTCTCACAGCTGAGCACTTGGCAACATAAAAAAGCGCTGGACCGATTTATGCCCAAATCTGTCTGCATGGCTGTGAGAGATACGTCTCTAGTGGGTTAAATTCCCCAGAGAAAGAGCATGTCTGGCATCCACACAAATACCAGCTGTATCTGACAACAACTGTTTCAAGTAACATCTCTAGCAGGATGAGTGGGCTTAAGTGAAAGCGAACGGTGCCAATACTAAATAGCTACATTTGTGCCAGCAGTTTCGTCTCAGCTTGATGAAAGGTGAGCTGCAAAAACAAAGATCTCTGGTTTGCTTTTGCGAGTCTGCTTTCTCCAGCCGAGCTGTTTTGTTTCTCCTGGGGAGGGAAGGCCGAAGTTTGATAGTAGTACTGTAGTGTAATGGGTAGTGTACACTGGAGCGATTCCCTTGCCAAACAACCCAAATCGCTCAGGAGTTACATATAAGTGAAGGACACACGGTGCGGTGCAACCATTTCGGGGCTGGCAGATGAACAGTTGGTGTAAGCACACTAGACAGTAAGCAAGCAGAGGAAAGGGAACTGCTGACCCACTGGCAAGCTGTCTCTCCGCAGCACATGTTGCATCTGGTCGGCCAGAGAAAGGAGCTGAGATCAGACGCCAGCTGATGCTGGACAAGCCCGGACTGATAGCCACTAAAGCGAGTCTGAATTACCCTGCAGAGAGCTGGCTGGGTTTTCCACCAGCAGGTTTGAGCGGGTCCTTGATTCCACCACCCCCTTGGTCTCTTTCCCCCACCTTCGGGGGCAGTTCATGCCGGTACAAAGAGCGATCGGGGGGGGGGGGGGGTTACATTTTCCATTTGTATTTGAGAAAGCGACGGATCTGGGGCGCGGGAGCGTGGAAAAGAAGCGCAGTGACACCGCGGGGATGGGTCCGCTGGCTCCTCACTCTCCCCCCCGGGTGAGATTCTAACCTATGAAGGAAAACGCTGGAGCAGCTGCCCCGCCAGACACTTTTGCCCCTACTGTGCGAGGCCAGGGCTCCATTAGCAAGGCAATCAGGCCAGGGCTGTCTGCAGCCTGCTCTTGCGTAGCCGCCTCTACCCAACGCGGCCGGAGTCGTTTGCCAGGCTATGGGCACCCCTGCTGCTCGCAGACTCTGTGGAGCCACTCGAGGGACTTGTTTTCAAGCCAGGTGAAGCAATTTCGCGCTGTGTGTTAATCGGGAGAGCGCTCACCCCGCAGGGCCATTAGATCTAATTGCTGCCCATTATCTCTTTCTTTGATAGGCAATTAGATGGCAATTAACTTGGAAAAGCCCAAAGGGCTGGGGGGAGGAGACACTTTTAGGTTTCAGTACATTTTCTGTGCAAAGCCGGTTAATTTTTCCTTCCAGCTGCCTACAAACAAACCTCCCCCCCCCCCCCGAAAAAAATCTGTGCTGTTGTTGCTTTGGGGCCCATAAATATCAATCTTAATTAAAAAGACAAGCTCCCCCCCCCCTTCCACAAAGAGCTATTTCTAGCCCACGTAACTTCTTTCTGATCTGTAGCCATTATGTTAAGGAAAGGGAGCTCTTTGTCCATTCCTCGACTATTCTGGGCAGGTCTGGAGTGCAGGAGAGACCCTATCTTACGTTTACTCATCTTTTGGTCATTCATTTCCGAAGAGCTAGATGCCACTTTCAAATCATCCCCCGATTTTTAAATGCCACACTCCCACAATTGTGAATTAATTGTCCAAATAGGGAAACTGCCCTCTTGAAACATAAAATCTAATTGTAGCTTTTTATTTTAGGAGGGTGTCATTATAAAGGGCGTATTTTATATTCAGCAACATCCCCATCATAGTTACCCAGTATTCTGTCTCCAGCTGCAGCAAAGGGAGGGAGGGGGCCGGGTACTTCAAACAAAAGGGCATTTACTTTTAAACAAGTAATCTCGTTGGTGCCTAATTGACTATCTAATAGCATGTATCAGGACATCAAAGCCTCCTTGAATAAACTTGTTAGCAATTCTAAGGGGGGCAGTGAGTGTTACAAACAGTGATCAATTTTCTTATCAGCCGTCCTTAAAAGGAAGCTGTCCCTCTGAGCAGATAACGATGTGTGTGCCTAAGTGAAGCACTGGGACCCAGCGCCTCCCATGGAAAAATCTGAGAGCAATAAAAGCTAAAGAGGCTGAGGCCTGTGAGTGCCCCCAGTTTGGGAGCCCTCGATCAGCAAACCAGGCCAGCAGCGACCCAAAGGGGCTAAGGGAGATGCTCTGAGACCCCTGGGGCCTTCCACTGGGTGGGTGTTGGGATATCTTCTCTTGTGCCATATTATGTGCCCCGGGAAAGAAAGCTGTC